AGCACTGATCCATCCCTTTAGCTGTTTCCCCACATTTTATTTTGAGGCAGGCTCTTGGACTAACTTACAATCCTTCTGCCTCAGCTTCCTAGGCAGCTTGGATCACAGCCTCAGCCTCCTACCTATACCCACTAAGCGCTGGAATCATCAGTGTCCACCACTGCGTCTGGCAAGTGTTCTCATTTGCTGGAAAATGCTCCCCCATCTTGCTCCCTCTTCTCCAGGACTCATCTCAGGTGTCATCCCTTTCCAGAGGCCGCCCATTGTATAGTATGATTCTTATGCACTCAATGTCACCAAGTTAAAAATTATTGCATTTCTTGTATTTACGGGGCGCACACATGCTATGGCATGCCTGTGGATGGTGGAGGAGTGTGCAGGAGTTGGCTCTCTCCTGCCACCATGTTGGTCCTGGGGCTCAAACTTGGGCTATCAAGTACCTTTACCCACTGAGCCACCTCATTAGCCCAAAACTCATCAATTAAAAACATACATAATATATGAAATATGTATATGGAGAGAAATATTACAGAGAGAGAGACGGGCGGGAAGGGGGCAGTTCCAGGCTGGCCTCAAATTCACAGTGTGCCTCTGCCTTCCAAGTGCTCAGATTACCGGTGTGCGATGCCATGAACGATCAAAACTCACCAATTTTAATTTGTTTGATATAGGTATAGTTTGATGTGCTCTCACACCTGCACACAGAGTTCTGTAACCACCACGATCGTGGTACAAAATGTTTCCATGAGCCTGGAACTTTCTTGCCATCCCGTTGCTGTGGGTCTCTGCTTCCACTCCAGTCCTCTTCAGAGGCTGAACTGATGTTCTGTTACCATAGTACTATTGCCTAGAATTTCATATGAATAGACTTTTACAGTATGAAATCTTATACATACAGATAACCTCAGTTGTTTTTTGTTTGTTTGTTTGTTTTCCGAGATAGGGACTTGATATGTAGCCCAGGCTATCCTCGAACTCATGGTGATCCTCTTGTCTCTGTGCCTACAACAGGCTTGTTTTCTTGGACAGGACACTGTAGTGCGGGCTGACCTGCAGCCTGAGGCAATCCATTCATACACAGACTTAAGGCACACGCATATATACCTAAAACAGGTAAACAAACCTTAAAAGGAGAAGGGGAGGGAGAGAAGAAGAAAGGAAGAAAAGGCTGTCAAAATGGTTCACCAGGGAAAGGTGCACACTGCCAAGTCTGATGACCTGAGTTCAATTCCTAGGATCTACTCGATGGGAAAGAGAACTGTGGGCCAAGCGGTGGTGGCCCACGCCTTTAATCCCAGCACTTGGGAGGCAGAGGCAGGCGGATCTCTGTGAGTTCGAGGCCAGCCTGGTCTACAGAGTGAGTTCCAGGACAGCCAGGGCTACACAGAGAAACCCTGTCTCAAAAAACCAGAGAGGAGAGAGAGAGAGAGAGAGAGAGAGAGAGAGAGAGAGAGAGAGAGAGAGAGAGAGCGAGCGAGCTGTGTCCTGAAAGTTGTCCTCTGACCTCCACACATATATTACACACACACACACACCAAAAAACACGCCCCCCCAAAAGCAACACTGAAAAGAACATAACTTGCAGAATATCACACATTCTATATTCCAAGGGACAACTTTTTATTTTATGTGTATGAATGGTTTGTCTGCATGTATGTCTGGGCACCAGGTGTGTGCCTGGTGCCCGAGAAGATCAGAGGAGGGCACTGGATCCCCTGGGACTGCAGTTACAGAGGGTTGTGAGCCGCCGTGTGGGTGCTGGAAATGGAACCCAGGTCCTCTGGGAGAACAGCCAGTGCTCTTAACCACTGAGCCATCTCTTCACCTCTGATGCATGGTCCGGTCCTTAGAGGAATATGATGCTTTGAGAACGAGGGCTTCGTTAGATGCATAGAGCATGCTCATCTTCTCTGTGCTGAAGCCAGCATGCCTTGTACATCCTGGTGTGTTCTGGAATCATGACTCGGGCCAAGAGGACCCCTAGAGGTCATTTAGGACAAGGGATATCCAGGGCTTGCTCCTGTGTCTACTGTGGAATCTCCATTTGTAAGTAAGTGAGGAACACTGTTGCCTGCTTAATGTGGACATTCTAGATAATTAAGAGATAATGGGGCTGGAGAGGTGGCTCAACAGTTAAGAGCACTGGCTGCTCTTCCAGAGGACCTGGGTTCAGTTCCCAGCACCCACATGGTGGCTCACAACTATCTGCAACTCCGGGATCCTGTCTCCTCTTCTGGGCTCCGAGGACACTCACCTACACAGGTGCTTACATATATACAAACAGTCACATAAATAAAAAACAGTCTTTAAACAACAAAGAACTTAACTCATGGGTTGGGGAGATGGCTCAGAGGATAAAGTGCTCGTTTTGCAAGCACTAATTCTGAATTTTACCCTCTGAACCTGTGTGAAAAAAAAAACAAGCTGCTGTGGAATGTGTAAGGGCATATTGTAACCCCCGCCCTGGGGTGATGGAGACCGTGCATCCCTGGGGTCCAGTGACCATCCAGCCTGGCCTAACTGGGGAGTTCCAGAACAATGAGAGACCTTGTCTCAAAAGAAAAACAACAGAAAAAACAAAACAAAACAAAACAAAACAAGATGAAGAACACCTGAAGGCCACGGGAGTGTGACCTCTAACCTCCATGAGCACAAGCGCACACGTGACCTCACAGACATATGTACCTCCACACACACGAACACATGCACAGTAAACACATTTTAGACACTAACTTCCTTCCAAAAGGGATGCCAGTCGTGTAGGCTGTAGGCTGTAGACAATGTACCGGTTGCCAGAAAACATGCAATACTTAGCATGTATCCCATGCCATTTCTTAGGTCTTCAGCTCCAGGGCTTATGTATTGAATGTTCGCTGGCTGTATATGTAATTACGAGGCACTTGGTTATTCTTGGGGGGGGTGTCCCCACCTCCATGTGCCCTCAAGGTGTTGAGGGCACAGCAGACAGAAACAGCCTTGATGCTTTCTGTGTCTTGGAACCTCCCTTCCAGAGGGTACAATAGTCTCTTGTCTTCTGTACAAAGTCCTCAGGAGTCAGTGGGGGCATACTTATTGTGGAGTTCAGTGTTTGTGTTACTTAGATTGTTTAAACTTAAAATAATTTAAAAAATTTATATTAAAAGTTTCAATTATTATTAGTGTGTGTGTGTGCATGTGTGCGAGTGTGGAGGTCAAAGACAACTTTGTGGATCTCTCCGTCCACACTTCCATGGGTTCTGAGGATTGAACTGGAGTCGCCAGGCTTGCACAATAAGTGCGCTTCCTCACTCAGCCACCCAGCCCCCATATTTGAAATTTTAAAACATTTATGTAGCGCACACACACACACACACACACGTGTGTGTGTAGGTGTGTGCGCTCGTGCACACTCATGCATATGCAAGTGTACATGTGTGACATGGTGCATGTGTGTAGGTCGGAGGACAGCTTTTGGGAGTCTATGTCCTTCTACCATGCCGGTTCTGGGGAGTGAACTCAGGTGATCTGGCTTGGCAGCAAGCCACCTTTACCAGCTGAGCTGGTAGCTCCAATGTAGATCAGGCTGGCCTCAAATTTATGGTAATCCTCTGACCTCCAAAGTTCTGGGATGAAAAATATCCACACCTGTTAGTTTTTGGGATTGAACCCGGGGCTTTGTGCAAGCTTTGTCCCCAATACTTGTGGTGCTTTCCCTGTTTTTGAGGGGCCTGGGGGGGGTGTCTCATGTAGTCCAGGCAGATCTTGAACTTACAATGTAGCTGAGGTTGGCTTTGAACTGACTTCGCTGCTTCCACTTCTCAAGTGTTGGCATTACAGGAGTGTTCCATCACACCTAACTTACCAGGTCCCTTATGGTTATATTGAGAGCCTATGTAACTAACTTGTGTGCAGGTGGGTTGGGGGAATCGTTCTGTTGATTAGTTACCGCCCCCCGGCCCCCCCCCCCCCCCCCCCCCCCCCCCCCCCCCCGCTTGCAGGTGCTCTTAAGTGATTGCGAGGTAATTACGCATATACTGCCTAAGATGCAGTGCCTACTTTGTACGCAAGGGGTAGATAGTTTGTGCGTCCGTTTGTTTTGCGCACCCAGAGCGAGTCCCACGGGGCTGCTTGGTACAGGGAATAGTGAGTAGCTCCGTGTCTGTTATGCACACGCTGCACGGGTCCCAGGTACTTACTCGGCTCGCCCGCAGGATAGGTGTTTCCTGTATTTATTTCTGTTAGGAACTGCGCTTGCAGCGTAGGTCCCGGGAGCCTTCTCTGTGTATGTGGGCAGTTTGGGGAGGGGGGTGTGTGTCTGTGTGTGGTATTTTTCTCACATCGCAAGGATCCAGTGTGCACACTCGAAATACATGGGGAAATAGGAAAACCTTCTCAGTAACAAAGCAGAGGGTGGCGGCTGCCGCTAACAGCCGAGATTGCGCAGCGCGTGCCCGCTGTCTGCCTCCTCATCCTCCCTTCCCAGGTCTGGGCACTACTGCCTTCTATCTCCTTGCTGCACTTCCACGCCCCAGCCAGCAGGGGGAGGAAGTCTCGAGCCCTCTGCTGACCCTGTGAGGACCTTCTTCTGGTCCATGGCTCTTTCTGGTTCTGCCCTTCTTTTCTCAGGCCTCTTCCCGAGGCCTACTGTGCTCCAGGAGAGAGAGCCTTCCTCCTCTCATTCCCCACCCCCTCATGCTCCCCATCCCTGGACTTGCGTGTCACCCCTCTGGGTTCTGTCGCTGTGTCCCATGCCCCCTCTCTCCCAGGCAGGGCGCTGTCTCCTCTCCCCCTTACTCATCTCTGTTCACCAGCGAGCCCCTTCCAGTGTCGGTCTCCGTCTGGCGTTCTCTGTGTCGCCCTGTGTTTCTCCTTCCTGGGCCGGCCATGTGTGTTTCCCGGCATCACCTCTAGACCTCAGTTTTGCCGCGGCCTCTCGCCCTGACTTGACTTTTCACATCTTGTGCTCCACGTCTCTCAGCCCCTTCCCTCTACTTCTCAGCGCCCCTGTGCATAGTTGTTCGTTTCTCCCTCCCACTAATCGCCTGTCTCCTCATCTGACTCTCACTTTCCCGCTCCGGGCCGTTTTCTGTATCTCTGAATCTTCTGGTCTCTGTCGGGGTCTCTGGTGTTCTCCGATTCCTCGGGTCTAGTTCTCTCCTCTCTGTGTCTTCCCGCCCCTGCGTCTCTCTGCCTCTGCCCTCTTCCTCTCTTTAGGGCTCTTCCCCTTGTTTGACTCTTGATGGCCTCTCTCTCTTACATGTCTCTCTCTTTTTGGGCCCCTCCCTACTGCTCAGTGTGTATCCCCCTGTCTCTGTGGGCTCCGTTTTTGTGCTGACTTCCTGCCTCCCCTCTCTCCCTTGCGCGGACCTCTTATTTTTATCTCTTTGTCTCTGGGTGTCTCTGTGGTTCTTGGTTCCTCTCTCTGTCTTTTTGCCCCATCTGCTCCGCACTCCCCCATCTGGACTGCTCTCTGCCTCTTGCACTACACTCCCTCTCCTTTCTTCCGTTTCTCTTTGTCTCTGGGTGTCTCTCTGCACCCCCACTTTAGGGCCCCTTCTTGCCTTTGAATCTCTCTCTGCTGAGTCTCCACTCTGTCTCTTTTCTCTCTTCCGCTGCGTCTGTTTGTTTTTTCAGTGTCTCTGTGTCTCTATCACTGAGTATCTCTCGGTCTCTGTGTGTCTCTGGATGTCTCTGTGAGTCTCTGGGCCCAAAGGTCTCCCTCTCCCTGTCTTTGAGTATTTGAGTCCCTTTCTGTTCACTGTCTCTCTTCCTTTCCCAATGTCTCTGTATCTCTCCATGTCTCTGATATCTCTGTGTGTCTCTGTGTCTCAGGGCTTCCCCTTGTGTCGGTGTCCCCCTTTACTTATCATTCCTCTCCCATTTCCGTGTCTCTGTCTCAGCGTATCTCGGCATATCTCTGAGTCTCTCTGTCTCTGTGTCTCTGTGGGTCTCGGGCCTCTCCCTGCCTCCGTGTCCCCTGCGCTCCCCGCCCTCTCCCTCTCCCTCTCTCCCCCCTCGCTCTCTGGCTCGCGCTCTCTCTCTGAGCATCCTTGGGCCCGGGGTTGCCATGGGGACAAGGTGGGAGCCGGGGATGGCGCGCGCCTGGGCTCGCGCCGGCAGCTCAGGCGAGGAGCAGCGGCCAGAGCAGCGCCAGCAGCAGGCAGCGAGCGGGCGCGGGAGCGGGAGCGGGAGCGGGGGTAGCGTTGGCGGCGGCGGCTCCTCCTCGGCCATCCCCTCGGAGCCGTGCAGCTGACGCGCATGGCGAAGACAGCGGCGCCTACCGATGGGAGCAGCGGTAAGGCAAGGCGGCGCGGCGCAGCCGGGCGGGCGGCGGGCAGCCTCCTCCTCTCCCCAGCTCGCCTGCGCGCCCGCCCGCCCGCCCTCCCTTCCTCCCTCTCCCCTCGCAGCCCCTGCCCGCCCGCCCGCGCCGCGCTCGCCCTTCCATTTAAAAATCTTTAAAACTTTGCATATTAATATCTGCGCTTTGCATAATCTGACCCGCGCTTTATTGATTGCAAGAAGCTTAATGCAGCCGGCTCGGCCTATTGCAGAGAGCTCTCCGGGCGGGAGCCGGGCGGGCGCCGCTCGCTCCGCACCGCGCTCCGGCTGGCCGCGCTGCTGCGGGCCCCGGCCCTCTCGCTTCCCTCCCGGCGCCCGCACCCAGGCTTTGCCCCCTGGCTGGGTATTTTTATTATTTGGGGGCGAGTGTGTGGGGGAGATCGGCTTGCTGTTGGTGACAGTGAAAGAACCAAAGGAGAGATAGATGGAGGGTGGGATGGGGAAAAATGGGGACTGAGGTGAAGAGGGAAGGAAAAAAAAAAGGGAGAGAGAAAGCAAAAAGGATAGGGAAAGAAGAGGCGTGGAGGGGGAAGGGGGAGAGAGAAGGCAGCCGAGGACGGAGCTGAAAGGACGGATGAGCGAGAGCCGAGACAGAGAAGAAAAAGGAGGGAGGCGAGGAGCGCAGACTAGAGAAAGAGCCGGGGACAGCCCCGGAGCTGGCGAGCGAGGCAGGCGGCGGGCGCTTCATCGTCGCTGTCCCCCAGGCCAAAAAATAAAGAAAAGAAAAAGGGGAAAAAAAATCACACCAATAAAAAGGTGCTGAAAACAAAACACATCGCTGCTGGGGCCACCGAACACAAAAAGGAGTGAGCTTGGAGACGCAAGGCGAGGTGGCATCCGCTCCTGGCTGGCCGCGGAGCCTCGGACAGGCTCCCGGGGCTGGGTGGGACCCCTATTTTAATCCAGCATTTGAGGAAGGGGTGACTGTGGAGAAAACGAGGCGAGAGGGTTCAGGGCTGGTGGCGGTTCGCTTGCTTTTTTCTTTCCTCTTCCCCCTCCTTCCTGGGGGTGTGGGGGCCGGTTTAGTGAGGTGATGGTTGGTGATGCTGTCTGAAGCTCCGAAGAAAGCAGGGTGCATGGGGGGGAGAGGTAAGGGCCCTGGGAACGAGAAAAGGCTGGGGGTGGGAATGGGGGCGTGAGAGAAAGGAAAGGGGTGCCTTGGCTAGCAGGAAGGGTGGAAATGGGAAGTAGAAGCAGCCGGGATGGGACGCGGAGAGGCGGTGGCGCCTCTCTGGTGTGAAGAGAGGTGGAAAGCGGAGCCAGGGGCCCCAGAGTGGTGTTAGGGAGCCGCAGCGCACCCCTCAGCTCTCTGGGCAAAGTCTGTGACTTGGGGAGCCCCTTTGGCTGCCTCTTGCTCTCTTCCCCTTTCTTCCTTTCCCGTCTTTTCACGCGTTCTTTTCTCCCCATCTCTTCTCTTTCCCGTTTTCCAGTTTCTCTCTTCCTCTTCTCCCTGACAGCCCCCCCCCAAGTTGTCTCCCTTTTCTTCTCCATTCTCTCCTCCAGCTTTTCTTTCATTCTCTCTCTTTTTCCCTTCCCCCTTTATTTCATTCTCTCCTCCCGGCCACTCACTTCCCCTGTCCCCCACCCCCTGCCCCCTCCCCCCTCCCCCTCCCTCAGTTTCATTTATTCACCACTTTTGCAGCATCAGCACTGAGCAGGGTGCCAGGGAGAGGGGCTCCGTGCAAAGGCAAAGATGCCCTAACTTCCCACCAGAGCCTAACCTCGATGCCCACATCCCACAGATCTCTGTGCCAGTGCTTCTAGCTGGGGGCTTGGGTCTGCCCTGAGGTCCTGGGGCCACCTCTTCTTTCCTTTTGGCCTCTGGAAAAGTCTTGCTGAAGGCTCACTGGGGCATGGGAGGGGGAGGGGCAGACCCTAAGAGAGGCTCATCACTGTGGTCCTAGCCCCACTGAGGAAGAAGGGTGTGGACAGAGAAGAAAATGACATGGAAGGGAAAGGAGAGGAACAGAAAGTGTGTGTGTGTGAGGGACATCTCTCTGAGCGGGTCCTCAGAGCTTTGGAGGCTCAGGTAGAAGACCCCAAGAGAAAGGCTCTGGCCTGCTGACCACTCCCCACTTCCTTCCTCCATCCTTGGGCCTATGGAACAAGAACCAGTAAATCTTAGCTTTAGAGAAGAATCCGGTCAGCTACTTAACTCTACAGTTGTAGACTCTGGCCATCCCCACAGGTGAATTTGTTCCCCAACCCCCAGGGTGTCAGGGGAGGGTGAGGAGTCATTGCTTGGTGGGGGTCTGGTGTGTACAGAGTCAGACCGTGGCGGCAGCGTGCGTGTGTACAAGGCCTTCGTGGTAAGGAAGAGGTTTTTGGGGGACGGGCTAACTGTGTGTAGGTTCGGGAGCCTTAGCAAAGAGAGATTAGCCGCAAGTACAGAATCGTGACATACGTTTTCCGTGGGATTCGGGGCCTAGCGTCCCCATTGTGGGTGTTCCACGTCCAAGAGGGAGTCGGGCATGTATTCGGGCCAGTCTCTCTCGCCTTGATGTTTTTGTGCCAGCCGTTATATGTGCATGCGAGAGGCCCTCTCTGGCTCTTGTGTGGAAGTGTCCATGAGTGTGCAGGGCCATGTTTTAAGTCTAGTATCAGCAGTGGACACGAGACACTCTCGTGCTTAGAGTAAAGCTCTTGTGTGGCGGTTACTAGGTCTGAATGCGGCGTGTGCACATTAGAATCACGTATGTGAAAGTGCCCTTTTCTCACAAGCTGTTATTGTTGTGATTGCTACTGTTGGGGGTCCCGGTGTGTCCTGGATAAAAGAGTGTACAGGTTTGTGAAGCGAGGTCTAGGTGGAGTGTGGAGGGATGTCTCGCTTGCTCACAGAGGTCGTGGGCATCTGGGTGGCTTTAACAGCACACTTGCACAGCATCCTTTAGGTTCAAGAAAACGAAAACAAAAAAAGATCTACCCTCCCACAGTTGCCCCCCAAAATCTTCCTTGGCCCCTCCATAGTAACAAAGTATTCCTATGTGTGAAGACTGTGGTTGGGTGGAGGCGGGGGGGGGGGGGGGGGGGGGGGCGGGGGGGGGGGGCAGCCTGAAAGGAGGGAAATGGATCAGGGCCTCAGACAGCATCTCTAGTTGTTGGTAACGAGATTCAGTCTACTTCCTGATTAGTAGGTAATGCTGGCCGGAGGCCCAGCCACGCACATTAGAGGCATCTAGACCCCTGGTTTTTGGGATGCTGTTGACCATCCCTCTGGCAGGTTGCCTTGCTGTGCTGTCCTTGGGGACCTTGGTAGCCTCACTGTCTGTCAGTCTTCATAGGGAGAGTCGAGTGTTCAGTGAACTGCGGTGGGAAAGGACTCAGCCACACAGAGTGTGCCCGTGTGTGCATTTGTGTACACACCTGTACTCAGGTGTGTGTACAGGAGAGGTTGTTAGTCTACATACCCTAGACATTATCACGTTGGTCAGATTTTTTTCAGTGGCCACTCTAGGCCGCCTCCCACCTGGTTCACAGACATATGGGGCATATGGGGCAAAGCCCCTTCACCCATGAAAATAACAATTAGGCGGGAGGGGGTGTTGTGCCCTTTGCACCCCATTGAGTGGGGCTTTTTGTAGCCCTAGTACGCAATGATAATGGGGGGGGGCATGGCCCATTGGAGACAAGTGACAGATGTCCACACCAAGTGCTGGCCGGATGGTCATAGGTGCCAGGGATCGAGTTTCTGCTCCAGCATGTGCTGATTAATTTCCAGGATTTATCAGGATGGAACTGGTTGAGAAACCCGGGTACAGAGAATCGGAGAATCGTTAGAAGCGATGACGGATGTGGGGGATTCCTTAAGTGGCTCTGTTCTTTCTTCTAAATATGCCATTTACTGCTTTTTCTTTGGTTTCTTCTCCATATAATAACAGTAATAATAATAGCAGTGGGTCGCCACACACCCCCTGGCTCTCACAGAAGCCCCGGCAGGGAGATTAAGATTTGGGCATTCACCTTATTAGCTTAGTCCATAAGCCCCTGAACTGGGCCCAGAGTCAAGGGTTTTTGGCTCCTGATGGGTGAGCTTTGTCCGCAGACGTCTCTCCCAGCCCCCACCACCATTCTTTTTGCTGACTTGGACCCTTCCCCCACTACCTCCCTGCCCCAAGAGACCACAGACCTGTCTCCAAGGACCTGTCAGGTGGATGGATGCCCTACGTGACTCCGTGAGGGCTTCGAAGACTTGGGTCTGGCTTTCCATCATGAGAGGAAAGTTGGAAAAGGAGTGGGTTGAACCTGCTTGGTCGGATGGTGTATGGAGGAGTTCCTAGGTCCTCTGATCCCTGCCTCACGAGCAGAGCACAGGACCACTTTCTCGGAAGCAAGTGGTGGTATTGGGCTGCAAATGTGCCTTCCTCCACTCACTCATCTCCCCGTCTTCACAAGATCACCGAGGTAGGCAGTTTCCCCAGCGCTGACACATGCAAGGGCCTGGGGATACCCTGCCCCCTCCAAGACTTTGCATTGAATAGGTATTTTATTGAGTGGCAAAAATCAGTGTGTGAATGAAGTCTAGTGAGTTCCCCCAAGGTAATTAGGGTAGTAGCATGATTGCTCTTGACCTGAAAATGATGCTTAGGTATCAACTACTGACTGTCTGGGACCTGGACTCAAACAGAACCTATCCTGGCCCCACACTAGGTTCCAGTACGGTACCTGGCTGTGAGCACACGAAAGAAAGGACAAATGGGTTCCAGTTAGGAGATGGGGGGTTGAGGATGCTTATGCATCGGGAAGGGAGAGGGCATCAAGATGGCCATGGGAGGTGGGGAGGAAGCATCTCATACTGGAGGCTTGTTCTTGGGACCTGGATTTGGTCTTGTATGGCAAAGCCTTTTCTGAGGAGGTTTAAAAGATGCTCTGAGAAGTTTAATCTGGCTGGTAGTGGAGTGTCATGAGCAATCACACACACACACACACACACACACACACACACACGCACGCACACAC